TTACTGTAGAAACAGCATTTTTGAACCTGGATAAGCAAATGTTTGAAAATAAGCTTTCGAAAAATTATATTGTGTTTGTCATGCTTCTTTACAAAATGACATTGCCACCTACTGCCAAGATTGCGTAATACAGCGCTTGTTATCTGTACGCAAAACCTTCCAAAAATGCTAAGGAAAATATTTTTGTATCTTTAGTTTTTGTGTAAACATACTCAATGGGGTGTTAGCATGAAACTATTTAAATTTTTTATAAAATATAGCTTTTCATGCATTCATTTAGCTAATCATTGCAAGCTACAAAAACTCAAAATGGCCCAAACTGATAGCCTTACCTAATACAAAGTTTTTAGTTTGATTGGGAACAGGGATTGTTTTGACAATATTGTCATTTGCACACAAAACAAGAAAACGTAAAGGAAAAACTTCAATCTTTATTGCATAAGAGTTCTTAAGAGAGAGAGAATGACCTTTTGACACCATTGTTTTCACCATCATTTAAGAACCCAAAGACGCAAACATTAGAAAATAGATTTAAGAGTACTTTTATTTTGGAAAAACAGTAACATCATGCATACTGTGCATAAAACAGACTTAAGTCAGTTTCGTATATGAATGTCAATGAGGATTGTTTTGATGTTTTTATATTAAGGGACATTTTTTTATTTTATTACATTGTTGTTTTACACGCTACAGCATCTAGTTTCTTTACCCCAGTAAAGAAAACTACTGGCCTGGCATGCATAATACAGCATTTATTACTTGATTTAGCAGATTTGTGTGTATGTTTTCACAACTTAATCATCTGTATTCCTTTTTAAAGGGATAGTTCACCCAAAAATGCTAATTCTGTCATCATTCACTCATCCTCCACTTGTACCAAACCTGTTTGAGATTCTTTCTTATCTATTGTACTCAAAACAAGCTGAAGAACATTAGAACAAACAGCCATTGGTCACACTTTATTTTAAGTCCGTTTGTTAAATTAAGTTGCATTGCATCCACATACCAACTAATTCTCATTAGATTATAAGTAGACTGTTAGTTTGGGGTTAGGGTTAATGCAAGTTGACATGCACTTGCAAAGTTTCTTATAGTCAGTTAAATGTCTGCTGAAGGGGCAGAATCAACAGATATTAAGCAGACAGTATACTAATACTAGTATAATAGTATTATCTAATACTAAATGGAAGTGTTACCCAGCCATTAACGTCCATAGTATTTTTTTGGTTCCTACTACAAGTGTCATAATATAATGACTGCTTTTTTTCCCTACATTGTTCAGTATAACTTTTTCATTTTAAGGTTAACTATCCCTTTAAAAAAGCTTTTACATTTGCAATGCTTTATTGTTATGTTAATGTATCTTTACATGCATAGAAAGTTCATTTGAAGATCTTACCTGCAAATCATATCAGATCTTAAACTGAAAGTTGTCATTCCAGTTTTTAGGCTGATGACAAATGCATGCTGGGAGGGGGTGAAGCCCAAACAGCCTTCATTTGTTTTCCGATGTCTGTCAGAGATAGCATTCAATCTCATTCACTTCCTCTTGAACCACTTGCCAGGGTTTTGTCTTCATCAGACGCGTTCATTAATAGGTTTTTTGCACTTTTTTTTTGGACAACACATTCAGAATATTTTACAGATTATTTTCTATTCACTCCCTGTCAATCTCTATCACCGATTTTCTCTTCAAGTGAATAAAACAACATTCTTCAATATAATTATCATTCAATCCGAATCACACTCGATGAAAGAATCAGAAAGAGAATTAAACCGTGATCATTTAGGAATGTCAGTCGTGCCGGCGCATGTCTCTCTTTTTTTTTTTCTTAGGGTTGTGAATATTTCTGCAGCTTTTTCAGTCTCGCAAAGCTATCTGCAGGTTGCTTGCTTATTGTATATGAAGTCTCACCAGCGCTATAAGCGTTTGACCTATTTGTCATAGCAGGAATATTTCAGATATTTGTTTGTCACCGGAACATGGATTTATTGTTGCTGGAATATATGGTTCACCGTGCAATTACATTATCATAGACACACATTATCTGTATGATTTGTTTGTAACCCACAGGTCTTTAATGCTTGTGCAACATCCTGTGTAAAAAGATTAATGCTGGCCGTTTTCCAAAAATGTGACGCCTACATAGACAGCACATCATGGTCATCATGTGACTATTCTTAGCATAGGCCATCTTCTAAAATAGCTTGATTCATTTGATTTCAACCTTTCCGAAAGTATAAACCTAAAGAAATTAAAAAATGTAGGAAATGTATGTAAAATAGCACATGTAATTGATCCAAAGTGACTTTTATAATGTAACAAAGGCATTTTAAATCAAATGAATGCTGTTCTTTTTAACTTTCTATCGTTCAGTCGATGCTTTGGAAAAGAAGTATGTCAATTTCTACAAAATTATGAAATATTTGAGCATTGAACAATATTTAGAACAATTTCTGAAGGATCATTTGACACAAAAGACACTAAAGAAATTAATCACATTTTATTATATTCTCTTATTCTCCCGTTTCTTATTTAAGTAATAAGTACACTGTTTAGTACACTGTTATTTACATGGTAGATCAAAAGTATGGAACTCTTAAAGAGACCAAAAATGAAGCTGATTCTCTTTATTTTTTACTCTTCTGTTAAACACAAAAGGAGATATTTTGAAAAATGCTGAATGCAAGGACTTCCATAGTAGGGAAAATGCTATGGAAGTCAATGAGCACCAGCATTTTTCTAAACGTTTGTGTTTAACAGAAGGAAGAAACCCAAGTAGGTTTTGAACAATTGAAGGGGCGAGTAAAGACAAACTTTTTATATGTCAAACATTATTTAGAACAATTTCTGAAGGATCGTCTGACACAAAAGAGACGAAATAATTGCAGAAATTAAATACACTTTAAAATATATTTAATTTAAGAAATTGTGAAATTGGGATTTTACTTTATCACACTGTTATTTACATTGAAATTTTCATGGTAGCTAAACAATAGTGAACTCTTAAAGAGAAGGTCAGCCCAAAAATGAAGCTTATTCTCCCTAGTTTTTTACTCTTCTGTTGAACACAAAAGAAGATAGTGTGAAGAATGCTGATTGCAATGACTTTAATAGTGGGGGCAAAAATTGCTTTGGAAGTCAATGAGTGCCAGCTACAAGCATTTTTTCCAAATATCTTCTTTTGTGTTTAACAGAAGAAAAAAAACTCAAGTAGGTTTTGGTTCCATCTTTTTTGATTCCAAGTAAACTTTGATCCCATCTCTTATTTAACTAAGTAATAAGTAAACTGTTTAGTACACTGTTATTTACAATAAATATGGTACTGTAGCTCAAAAGTAGGGAATTCTTAAAGAGATCGTTTCTCCAAAAATGAAGCTTATTCTCTAGTTTTTTTCCTCTTCTGTTAAACACAAAAGAATATATTTTAAAGAATGCTGAATGCAATGACTTCCGTAGTAGGGAAAAATACTATGAAATCAATAGCCCCTTTCACACAGTGATACCGGTAAATATCCGGAAAATTTCCGGAACGACTTTACCGGTATATTCAAAAAAACGCTGTTCACACAGGCGAGGACATTACGGAAATTTTCCGGAAAAGAGCATTCACACATCCATTCCAAAATACCGGTAAATTCTGACATCATTCACCACAAATGAGCTTTAAACGGCTGCGCTTGTATTTGTAAACATTTGACTAAATTACAAACTCTGTGGATGATCAATATTGTGAACAACTTTCGCAGGATCACTTTCGCATGTCGAGATGTTCATAATATGTGCGTGTGCAGGCGCTCACAGGCTGTTTCATAGGCACACGCAAAGCTTGAAGGTAAACAAACAACGGCTTATCATAAGCATCTCATTGATGATTATTTACACAGTTGGCATTAAGAAGAACATATAAACGTGATCTGACTAACTTCTAGCAACTAAATGTGTCTGGAAAAATATTCAAAGGCTTTTATTCTCACAAACCGCGCGGACGTATATGCGTCTGACTGTTGTGATTGGCTAAAGCAGACGTCTCACGTCAGCACGTTTTAGACGTGCACACGCTCATTCCGGCAATCTTTCTTCTGCATTCACACAGCGCAGCATTCCGGCAAATTGCCGGTAATGTTACAACTTCTCTTTCCGGAAAATAGCCAGAACGAATTTACCGGTATTTTCAAAAAGGACCTGTTCACACATACAACCTTTCTGGAAAATTGCCGGCAATTTTCCGGAAAGGTCTGTATGTGTGAAAGGGGCTAATGAGTGCCAGCTACCAGCATTTTTCTAAATACCTTCTTTTGTGTTCAACAGAAGAAAGAAACAAAAGTAGGTTTTGATTCCACCTTTTTTGATTCCAAGTAAACTTTGATCCCATCTTTTATTTATTAAGTTTTAAATTAACCTTTGATTTTACTTTATTACACTATTATTTACACGTGTCATTTGAAAATATTCAATTCAATTTCTTTTTATTTCTATAGCGCTTTTACAATGTAGATTGTGTCAAATCAACTTCACATAGAAGATTATTGTGAATTTGAAATGTCAGTTCAAATATCATGGTAGCTCAGCAATACTCCTAAAGAGATTGTTCAGCCAAAAATGAAACCCCCTTGTGTGGTTTTATGAGTTGTTTTTTCTTCTGTTGAACACTAAAGAAGATATTTTGAAGAATGCTAATTGCAATAACTTCCATAGTAGGGAAAACCATTACTACGGAAATTAATGAGTGCCAGCTACCAGCATTTTCCAAAACATCTACTTTTTTGTTCAACAGAAGAAAGTCAAGTAGGTTTTAAATGTGGAGTTCTTGATGACAGACTTTAAATTTGTGTGTGAACTATCCCTTTAAGTCACTTTTTATGTTACAGTATTACTATAGGCACACCATTGTTCTCATGTTTGCACATAGCGACTACACCCCATTGATTCCTCATCATGTGGCAATAATTTCCTTCTATCAGTAAATTACTAATTAATTTTATTTTTCATTTTTCAGCGTTCCATCCCCGTATTAAAGCGAGCTCTGGCTGTGAGGTGACCTGGTAAGTTCAAGCGTCTATTGTTTTCCTTATAGCAGACTAACATTATTTATTTAGCACCTTTGGGTTGTTGTTTGCCATGCTGGTTGACTTCAGGCTATTGAAACAAGCTCTTCTGTCACCTGCATGACACTTCCGGGCTGACTTTCCAAACGCCTCTATATCACGTTTCATTATTGCTTATGGCAGCATGCAATCTATTAAAGGAGCTCTCCACTTCTTATGGAAAAAAAAAACATTTTACAACTCTACTGGAGTTAAGCAGTTGAGTTTTACCATTTTTGAATTCATTCAGCCGATGTTTGGATCTAGAAAGAAAATGTAGTTTACTAACACTAACACTTAAATCCACGTTTGTTGTGAACCCAGCCTACACCTCACTTCCATCCGGGTCACGGCACCAATTTGGATTGACTTTGTATGTAATTTACTAGCATTAATACTTAAATTAACATTTTGTGTGAACCCAGCCTACATCTCACTTTCATCCGGGTCACGGCAACAATTTTTTTACTGACTTTGTATGTAATTTACTAGCACTTATACTTTGGTGTGAGCCCAGCCTACATTTCACTCCCATCCGGGTCACAGCACCAATTTGGACTGACTTTGTATGGAATTTACTAGCACTAATAGTTAAATTCACATTTGGTGTAAACCCAGCTTACACCTCACTCCCATCCGCGTCACGGCACCAATTTAGATTGACTTTGTATGTAATTTACTAGCACTAATACCTAAATTCACATTTGGTGTAAACCCAGCCTACATGTCACTCCCACCCGGGTCACGGCACCAATTTGGTTTGACTTTGTATGTAATTTACTAGCATTAATACTTAAATTAACATTTGGTGTGAACCCAGCCTACATCTCACTCCCACCCGGGTCACGGCACCATTTTTTTACTGACTTTGTATGTAATTTACTAGCACTAAAACTTTAATTTACATTTGGTGTGAACCCAGCCTACACCTCACTCCAATCTGGGTCATGGCACCAATTTGGACTGACTTTGTTTGTAGTTTACCAGCACTAATACTTAAATTCACAAGATGTAAATCCTCATTGGTGTGCCCAGTCTCAAACCACCTGGTAGCTAGAGACTATTTTTAGGTGCTGCGTTAAATTATTGCACCTGCTCCAGCCATGGTACAGCGGCAAAGTACTTTTATTCCGATCCCAAAATGAGAGTAAAAATCGGCAAAGAAAATAGCAACTTTTACTCTTCTGTTGTTCTTCTTACACGATGTAACTACAGAATACTCCAACTTTAAATTACATAATTTTTGGACACTTTTAAATGAGATGCTAATGGTCTAACCCGATTCAAGGATTTGTGCTAAGCTAAGCTAAAAGGCCTGAATGGCTTTAACGAAATATAAAACTCAACTGTTTAATTATAGGGGAGTTTTTAAATGAGCCTATTACCAAAAACAAGTGTCATGTTTCTTTAAGTGTGTGTCTTAATGAACTCCAGTCTTATACGCTTGACTTTTGCTTGAAAAGAAAGGAGGGATAAGCTTCAATCTGAAGGACTAACAAAGGAGTGGCTGAGGCTGCTGCAAGAAAACTTGTTTTCTGTCTGTTTGTTGGGTGTGTGTTGCTTTCTTGCTTTGGCGCTTTGTTGTTGCAATGCTGAAAACGGCCGCCGTTTGGGATCATTTGTTTTCCCTCGCAAACATTTCGTGGATAACCAGATATCATGTATATCTCTTCCTCAGAGCATATCTTCAAGATCAACTCTTCAGTCTTTTTTATCAAGGCAACTGGAAAAACTGCTCTCACAAGTGACAAACACCCGCCGGACTGGCCTTTTCAGGAGCTCAACGTGTTTTTAAATGTCCATTGTCTCTTTTTTGTGTTGTTTACCCATTGCAAACGAACCCCAATCTTAAGGACGCAAGTAAACAGGGAGGCCGTTTACCTTGATTTACATCTCTTCCTTCTCTTGGCTGAAGTGGACAGCTTTCTTTGTTCTTCGAGAAACATAATACGTCCTCCATCACCCTTTCAACCCTTCAACCCACAGGTCAGTCATCCTGGCTTGACGGGGTCACTTTGACAGAGCTTTATTTTGGGTAAAGAAATCCACCGTGATGTGTTTGAGATCTCAACGTACCCACAAGGCACTGAAATACCGAGATTTTAACACCTGTTCGGCATGCTCTGAAGTCCCAGGGGAATGAAGATATATACGGCTGAAGGCACTGTTGAGTTGTCGATGTCTTGGAAAGCTTCTTAACACCTTTGCTATGTTTTGCTACACTTTTTCTCTTCCTGGGTGTCTTCTTGAGTCATGCACAGAGTAAGGCAAGCTCCAACATGCTTGAATCAAGAAGCGGGAAGGGAAGAAGGGGGAAAAAAATGCATTTCTGCGGACCACGACATACCACACTGATGGAGCGAAATTGCTAGTCTGTCTATGTGCGTCCCCACAAAGATTCGTCCCGCTGTAATCAGGATTCCATTGGATTTGTGTACTAAAACAGGCCTGCTTTAAAAATGTATCAACAATCTCTGCAGTTTTTAAAGAACTAAATAGTATTTTTTTTTAATGTTTGGTTGGCGTATCATTTGTCAAAATGTGAAAATTATGTTCTTATTATCAACACGATCCCAGATCTTTCTTTTAATCTTTATTTTTCATCTTTTCGGTCTTCAACCAAAGCATTTATCTTGATGATCAGATATTTATTTACGTAGAGATGCATCTGTAAAGGATCTCAGCTTGGTTTGTTTGTTTGTTTGTACACAGAGATAAAGCGGTTTGTCCCTTTTTATGTTTATTTTTTAAAGAAATTTGTAAGTTCTTCCCCTGTCGTTTTTTAAATCGTCCATATTTTTATGTTATTAGATTGCATGAAACCGCAAAACTGCCACTGATTCTGTTTAAAAAAGAGGGTATGTTTCACAAATATATTTTAAAATGTATTTCAGAGATAAAAATGTGACCAACATAATTAAACATATAACTAATAAATGTTGACGAATATTTTTCTATACATTTTAGTTTGATTTAGCTCTCTGTATATATTGTATATGTATACTAGAAAGGCTCTAGCTATGGAAAAAATTAAGAAACTGCTTAAAAATGTACAATTATTCTGGATTCATGATTAACAGTAATGTTATGTTTTGTTCTATAAACTACTATTGACATTTCTTCTCTTATTTGTCAGTAAAATTGCTAAAAATACCAGTGTTTTAACTTTAGAAGAGTTAAGAAATTATAATGGTTTCGCGGGGGCTCAGTGGTTAGCACTGTCCCCTCACAGCAAGAAGGTTGTTGGTTTAAGGATCAGTTGGCGTTTTTTGTGTGGAGTTTGCATGTTCTTTATGTGCTCAGGTGGGTTTCCTCCGGGTGCTCCGTTTTCCCCCACATTTCAAAGACATGCGTGAATTGAATATGCTATATTGGCCATTGTGTGTGTGTGTATGTGTGTGTGTGTGTGTGAGTGTGTTTCCCAGTACTGGGTTGCAGCTAGAAAGGCATCCGCTGTGTAAAACATATGCTGGATAAGTTGGTGGTTCATTCTGCTGTGGCGACCCCTGATAAATAAAAGTACTAAGCTGGAGGAAAATAAATTAATAATTTAGTAATTAGTGGAATAAACTTAATTTCAATCAGAACTCACAATATGTGATATTTTAACAATTTTCTGGAAGCAAAGTGCTCTCAGGGTGCGTGTCCACCAAAATGTTTTTTGCGCTGCAGAAACATAAGCGATGTTCTAGACACGTTCAGCTGTGAGTATTTTTGCAGTGCTGCTTTTTTTCCAATCTGTTGTTATGATACAGAGTATCCTGCTTTACAGCTACAAATTGAGGTCTTTAGCAGATTATTTGTTGACATTTGCGTGTTATTGTCCCGCCTATCCTTCAGTATGATTGGATGGCTAGCTCAAAAGTGACACTGGTATACTTTTTAAAATTTTCTTACTTGCTAAAAAAATACCTATTTTACAGCAATGATCGTAAAACGCCTGCTAAGTTTGTTTGAGGTGCTACAATTGACAACAACAGAAAGCAAACGCTGAATAAAAACACTTCAGTGGACGCACCCAAAATGGCAATATTTTGATTCAGGTATCCGAAAGAAAACTAATCTTTTTATAAGTTTAATAAATAATATCATGATATATAAATAATACCTAATAAATAAATCCAAAAATATGTATATTTTTGAAGTGGTTACTTAATCTTTTCCATAGCTAAATATAAACCAAAATGTACTTGAAATACATTTTACAATATTTTTGGTCATTTGAAGGTTTTAAACTGAGTATATTTTTAGTTTGAAAAATATATATATTTCTGCTGCACTGTTTAACATATATTTAGCCCAGTAGTCAACATTTGAAGTAGATCAATATATATAAGCAATATCACACGAGTAGCAGTGTGATATTGCTGTATATCGGCACTGGGGGAAGGCATGCGTTGCGACCGAGTGCCTTAGTGTCCCACCAGTGACAATATACAGCCTTATCGCACTGCTACTCGTTTGATATTGCATTTATACAACAGTTTAATGGCATAATCGGGTATATAAAAAGAAAAACAAACACGGAGAGTCTAAAAATTCTTTTGTAAGAGGAACTACTTTCTTCCGCCATTCATTCACATCTGTAGCAGACGTCAGAAAAGCAGAAGCCGTTACTCATTCAACAACGTCACTTTAGAGCTAGTGTTTAAATGATTTTCTAGCGTAATGTCTAAAATGATGACAATACAAGTGATTTTCCTCACATTTTAAGATTATAAGACTAAACGGCATGAAATGCCATCAGTCTACAGACATTTCCCAGAACTTCAACCACTGGAGCTTAATAAACAAGCATTTTTTTTTAAGATGATTGCTTTAAATTTTTAAGTTAACTCAACTTATTATTTTTACATAATCGCTCAAATAAAGAAATCTAAATTTAAAGTCTCCTCAACTGAAGTTTTTACTTTTATTGAACAAACAGTTTAAACATGTAGTTGAATCATTTTTATGAGTAAATTCAACCCTGAGCTACCAAATATGTCCACCTAAAATACAATTTTAACTTAGTTACCAATTTGCAAGTTGAATTTTTTACAGTGCAGTATTTCTCTGTTGCAATCGAGATATCACAATAAATAACCCAGAAAAAAAGCCAAAGCAAAGCAAACACTACCAGATTACTATAGTATAAATACAGCACTACAACATACAAAAGAGAGAGATCGACTTTGAAAGTCTATTACCAGTATTATAATGATTTAATCAGCTGTAGTTTGAAATTACGCTGAGTTTTTCTCCTCTCAAGGCTTATTGTGTGGTCTCTGTCGCCATCTTGTGGCAGAACGTCAACCACCTTTGCTCTGCTCAGTATGACAGGCAGATGGCCGCCAACAAGCTGAATCTCCAAAATTATAAATATTTGAATAAATAGGCACTATCCTTATAAATAAACTGCATATTTGCAATCTAAACAACTACATTTTCACCTGAAAGCCTCAAAAGTACATTATGTTGTCCAACAGCTGCAATATTTGTCAAACTGTAGTAAGTCTATTGATCTGCTGTCACTCTCTGTGGTGGATTAATACAGAAGGGTGACAAGGCTGTTATTGCAGAATATCGCACAGCTAACCGCCAACGAGATTCGAGAACCAGACAGAACTTTTGTATAAATAAATATATTAACATTGACTAGCAAATGTTGACTACTGTATTTTGACCAGAACAAAATACACATGTATATTTTAATCTGTATGCGACCTGAACAAACATGCAAATACAAATGACTACTTTAGCAAGAACTACTGGGTAAACAAATTGTCTCCTTAGCTAATACGGTACAAATGTATAGATAAAACGATTCCCTTTTTTCTTTTTAACCCTACGCCAGCCAGAATCTTAACACACAGTGTATGTACAGTATCTCCAAATCAACACACTAACACACATTATCAAACTCATTTATATCCAAAGGTATTTAAGCATTAAATCCCTCCCTTTTAGCATTATTTACAATTACAACTTATTCATTTACTACAACAACTCCCCTCAAAGGTCGAGCTTTATAACTCCTTGCAAACCTGTAGACGGTCTGATCTCTGTGTGTTTTTAGTGGTCTGCGCATGTTTGCATTTAGACACCAGTAATCATATGCGTCTGACCACACACACACTGAATTAACGGTTAGTTTGTGCCGTGCCTCATTGTTGAGACAGACATCTCTGAGTCATCCTTGTGTTCTCTGTAACGGTTTATATCAGGTGATGTATTAAATGTGAAATATGTCTTCATTTAGGATAGATAGATTTTGGAATTTAATTGGAGAATGTCAAATTGGCAATGGAATTGGTCGTTCAGTGTTTCGAAGTCACCATATTTAATTTTTTTTAAAGATGTGACTCACTTTTACGTCATATAAAGCAGTGTTTCTCAACCATGTTCCTGGAGGATCACCAGCACTGCATGTGTTGATGTCTCCTTTGTCTGGCTCACCCATTACAGGTCTGTAATGATCTGAATCAGGTGTGCTTGGTTAGGGAGACATGGAAATTTGCAGAGCCGGTGGCTCTCCAGGGTCGTGGTTGAGAAACACTGAAATAAATACGCAGATGCGGTCTCAAACAACAGCCTTCATTTGTGAAACGTTCTCAGGTTTTGTTTACTGGTTGTTTATAATCTCTCTAAGTTCAGTCATGTTTTTTTTATATTCTTTATGTTGCTGTTAAATATAATTTATTTTCTGCTTTTGTGTAACTGTTGAAATGTGATGTTCTTGTTTTTTTGTTTAAATGTTGGAACTGCCCCACTTTGTCATTCATTGATAAATTAGCAAGAAAAAAATATCATCATTGTAAAACTTGAATTTTGTTTATTTTCTACACCCATTTGATTAAGGCTTCCAGAAATAAATTATGCCTCAACATGACAGCGTTATTGGTTATATATGTTGGTTGGATGGATGGATGGATGGATGGATGGATGGATGGATGATAAAGGATGGACGAACATGGATGGATGATAGAGGATGGATGATAGAGGAGAAAGAATGGATGAATGGATGGATAGATGCATGGGTGGCTGGATAGATGATAATGGTTAGGCAAGTGGATGGATGGATAGATGATAAAGAATGGATGGAAAGATGATAATAGATGGATGGGTGAATGATAAAGGATGGATTGATAGATGATGATGGATGGGTGGAAGATATATGATAAAGGATGGATGGATAGATAATAATGGATGGGTAGATGATATATGATAAAGGATGGATGGATGGATATGTGGATAATAGATGTGAAGGATGGATGGATGATAATGGATGGATGAGTGAAATATGATAAAGGATGGAAGGATAGATGTATGATAATGGATGGGTGGATGATAGATGATAAAGGATGGATGGATGCTAATGGATAGATGGGTGGATTATAGTTAATATAGGATAGATGATTGAATAGGTGATAATGGATAGACGAGTGAATGGATGGTAAGATGATAGATAGTAAAAGATAGATGGATGATAATAGATATATGGATGGATGGATGGATGGATGGATGGATGGATAGATGATAATGATTGGATGGATGGACGAATGGATAGATGATAAAAGATGTATGGATGTATGGATAGATGATAATGGTTGAATGGACAGATGGGTGGATGTATATGATGATGGATGCATGGTTGATAAAGGATGGATGGATTGATAAATGATAATGGATGAATCGACAGACAGTTGTATGAATGGATAGATAATAAAAGATGGATTAATAGATGATAATGGATGGATGGATGGATGGATGGATGGATGGATGGATGATAAAGAATGGGTATATGATATGGATATATGATAAGGCGGATGTAGGGACAGATGGATAGATAATGGATGGATGGACGGATTGACGGACAGATAGACACACAGACGGACGGACGGACGGACGGACGGACGGACGGACGGACGGACGGACGGACGGACAGACAGACAGACAGACAGACAGACAGACAGACAGACAGACAGACAGACAGACAGACAGACAGACAGACAGACAGATAGATAGATAGATAGATAGATAGATAGATAGATAGATAGATAGATAGATAGATAGATAGATAGATAGATAGATAGATAGATAGATAGATAGATAGATAGATAGATAGATGGATATGAATGAACTGCTGTGTTTCTCAGCTGATCAGTGGCTCATTCTTAAAGCTCAGAGCTGCTGTGTCTACATTCATTCACTGACTGTGGGAGACCCAAGTATCCAATACATTCAGATGTTTCATCACTGTCAGGTTGGATTCTGAGTTTCAGCCTGCCACACCTGTCAGTGTCTCAGTGTGTGAGTGTGTGTGTTGTATCCTCCTGCATGCATGACTGCAAACTCAATGGCCATGAAGCACTATTCGTCATCTTGCCCTGAGAAACATAATCCAGTGTGACACAAGCCTGAATGTGTGTGTGTGTGTGTGTGTTTGTACAGTGCATTGTTTGTACAGATTTACTTTTTCATTCTGACTAGTGAACAATACCACGGTAACTGTGGTTTATGCCTAAACACCACAGGTATGATACTACAAAAGCTGTGGGGTTTGCCACAAAAAATATCATCTGTGGGTCAATGGGACGGCTGGTAGTGGAGTCTGCATCATGACATTCACAGATGTACAGATGTGCTTGGAACTCATGAAATGCAAGACAAGTGTGTGATGTTTCAAGTTTGTGGAAATAAATGATCAAAATACAGGTAAAACAAGATGCTATTGTCATTTAAAGGGCAGCTATTTTACCTCGTTTTCAAGATTTAAGACGAGTCTTTTGTGTCTTCAGAATGTGTCTGAAGTTTCAGTTAAAAACACTTCTCAGATTATTTATTGGACCTTTCAGAATGTTGCATTTTCTGCTTTGAACACCATGCAGTAAAGGTCTACATTCCTGCGGCTTTACCGTGGGAGCTGCGGGTCCCGACCAGATTTCTTGCGACACGGGAATAAATTTCAGAATAAAGCGCGAGAGCAGTCGGTAACTGGTGTAATTTTGGACGGGAGTGGGCGGTCTAACAAGCACGCATATGTATGTGTGTGAATTTAGCTTGTTTGTTGCTGTCTATGGCCCCGTTTACACTAGTGCGGTTTAGTTTTAAAACGGCGTTTTAGATCAAAATCCGCGTCCGCACTAGCGTTTCACCTAGCGTCTCTGAACATATCTCCAGCCACACTACGCCACCAAAAACGTATATCAAGTGACCATTTGCGCACTCTGGGCATGCGCATTCTAGTATAAACAG